TTTAAAAGGTTTATAGAATGCAAAGTGAGAGAAAGGTTTCAAGTGAAACAAATACCAGCTTAAAGAAAAATTATACACCAATTTAGCAAATTTATATTTATTTACATTCTATATTAAATATATCGTAATAAAATAAATCTCTTAAACTACTGAGATGTTCATAGAAGCTTTGTGAACTACTTCATCAATAACATACTAGACAATCCATGCTGTATAATCTCCTTTGTCCCCTATGTTCGCCCTATGTACCCTTGACCAGCAATCTGTGCTTGCTGGTGTCAAGTATTTTTCTCTCTTTCTAAACGCCAAAGTTGTGCTCCTCAGGCACAATTCATGTGGTTCCTCACACCTTTCCCAGCCAGCTCTCTCAGAACGGGGTGAATGGCCCCCAGAAGACTCCTCTCTCTCTTCATTTGCTCAGCTGGAGCTGGGATGAGCTGGAGCAGCGCACAGGCACTGCTCCTATCTATCTCAAGATAGGAGAGAGGAATCCTACCCCTCCTCCCAGTAACTCACATTTCCTGGTTTTCCCAGAATTAAACACTGCTGAACTGTTTGGCCCCAGAAGAAAAAGGAGGAAACAGAACAACAAAGGAGAAATCTGATTCCAACGGGAGCTGTTGATGGAAAGCATTTAGGCAGAGCTTCAAAAGAGAGGCAGAAATACTCGCTTGTGTCTCGCTTCAAGTGACACACATCAATAAAGCAATGTAGAAGCAAAGGGATCTGCTGACCTTCAGAGCAGATCTTCCATGGGAAACACATTTTCTGATTTGGCTCAGGTATGTCAGGAGTCATTAAATCAGGAAATTACAAAACTGGAGGCTGGTGCTATTGGGAATCAGAAGGGAGCACAAAAATGGATGAATTCTGTACGGATCAATTTAATAAAATATAGTGGCAGTTTGAGAGCTGACAAGCAATCAAACAAGATCAAAGTTCTCCCACAATGGCTGGCATTAGATGGAGCATGGTGTTTGCTAGGTGGGAAAGGCTGCCCTGCCCTTCTCCACCAGGAACATGTTTGTGGACAAATATATTAATTCAAGGTCCCAAATGACTTCAGTATTTCAGGTCACTAGCCTGATCCTCATCTCCTATTGAAGCTTTGTTTATCAGTGCTAACAACCTGTTTCGCAAGGCCAGCCTTTATTTTGGCTTACATACTGTATTACCAAAGGCTGATGTAACATGGGTCACAAATGTCTGGTGACAAATCTCTTCCATCCACTGTAATTTCCATGTGAAATCAACTTGCATGTATCCCAGATTATATACAGCCAAGCAAGGAGACGGTGTCTTGGCACAAGCACGTTTAAATCCCCCAGGTGCAAGGAAGGAGAAACAAAGATTCATTACAGTAATAAAGTTTCAGCCTTCTAGGGATGAGGTCAAATGAGAGCAGCAGAGCACTGGCTAACAGGAGAGCAGATCTTATGTACACAGGACCTACCAATAAGCCTTCTGACACGTGTCTGTTGTGTAGGGTCCATTGAGGGAAAATACCTACCTTATCACTGAACATTTCACAGGGCAAGAAATGTTCATTGGACAGTGTCAAGAAATGTTCATTGGACAGTGTTGCATGAGTAGGATTTTTTTTTTTTTTTTTTTTTTTTTGGGTCTAAATTTGCTTTCTTAGCTTATTTACCTTTGAGCCTGGTCAGCAAGTAGCGAGTTCTCTCAATCTGTATGTTTACTCCAAAGGAAAAACACCGTATCATTTTGGCACTTAGCAATTTTGTATTTACTGAGAATCCCTTCTTTGTAATGATGGAAATTCAGTGTTTAGGGTAGGAACTGTTCACTGGAATCAAGCCTGGAAACTGCAAGGGTGCATGCCAGAATGCTGCCCACTTCTTTAGAGTCAATGAAAATATGCATTCTCCTTAATACACTACCACACATTAGTATGGTTTTTACAGACTAAAAGCTGCTGCTGAAAATGACAAAGCAAACTGAAAAGTGCCACTAATATCTAGGTTGCAACATGTTGCCAGAACATTCCTGAGAAACAGGAGCCTCCTGGGAGCAGTGTAGGTGGCATTCACTCACTTTGGAGCCCCAATGTTTATACCAAATTGCATTTCCTTGCCACTGCGCATGCCAGAGCCTGCCTTAATTTAGATCTTGCCCTCGTAAGACCCTGAACTCCCTCCACTGCTCCCTACTGCAGGCACAAGCTACAGCCAGAATCTCCCAGGACTGGTCTCAAAAGCTTCTTTCCCCTTCACTCAGTTCAGTAGAATTTCATGACATATACATTAACTTGGATTTAATTTGGTACTTCTCCAAATGCCAACTGCGAAAACAGGGCTGAGGAGGAGGAGGAGGGAAGAAAACTCCACAAGCAAGTGTGATACCTGCAGGACAATAATTCCATTAACCTTTCCAGGGAAAGGCAGGCACTCTTGTTTTCTAGCAGTCTATCAGTTTTCTCCCTATTTATATATGTACTCTTTGCCTAGGTCATAAGGCGTCTAAATGAAAATTTATTGCAGGGACTGGCTATTGATTTGCAATCTTACACATCTGGAAGACATGACCCTAAAAGAATGTCCATTCTTTGAACTAATGAAAATTTAAACTCTAGCATGAAAGAAATTGTTTCAGGATAAAATTACCTGACATTTTGAATGAACACCATCGATGAACACCGTGTTTGTTTTATAGGTAAATCCTCTTTATAAAATACACCAGAGAAGTTTCAGTAATATTTGTGGGGTTGATTGAATTCAGTGAAGCCACACTAGAGGCTTACAGCAATTAATTACACCCCCTTAAGTATGGCAGAGAATGGTTACATGACAGCTGCTTCTCAGGGTCCCTGATGTCAATGGGATGGGTACTACAGTAGACTCTCTTAAGATCCAGAATTTTTTCTGTGAATGAAACAAGCTAGTCCATGACTGAGCAATTTGAGTAAACTCTCCCTCTGGGAGGGAATCCAGGTTTCTCCCTCTGTCACTTTGTGTTTCATTCAGTCATATCTCTGCCAAAACCGCAGAGTTCAAGGACTAAGCGTAAATTTCCTGTCAATTCCTGTCCAAGTCGTTGCTGCTGACAACCTGACTCGCTGAAGAGGAAGATATTATCTACCTTTGTCAACAAACATCATTCTTCTTGCAATTCCTAGGGCAGGACCAACTCTTCACCTGTAAGGTCAGAGTTATGTAAAGTTGGAAAGGATATTTAACAAATTACTCTAACATGACGTATACAGGAAAAAAATAGTGCAGCCAGCTAAGGCCAACCACGAAGCTTGGTTTCCTCAGATTCTCTCATCACAAGAACCATATAAACATTTGGCACTTTCACTAGCACTGTGCACCAAAAGTTGACTCTTTGCTCATCTGAACTGTACATAAATTAATTTCTCCATGAGTTTCTTAATGATAGATCTTGCATCTATCTACCATCCAAGTTGTCTGTTTTACATGTGCAGATTGCACTTGCATCAACTCAAAACAATGCAGATTTACACGGAAGCAAAGAATCTGCTGCTGTTTTGAGATTCATAGAATACTCTGAGGTTGAATAGACTCAAGAGTCCAACTCCTGACTAAATGATCCATCAGGGGGGATTGAACCAACAGGCTTGGTGTTACTGTACCACACTCTAATCAACTGAGCTAATGTCAGAAAGATGACTGTACTTTGATCAAATGTCAAATTTAACCACCTTTTGCCTGAGCAAAGCCATAATTTTTCTTCCTTCCCTCCACCTGCCAATGCATATTTCTTCTGCTGCAAGTATTGCAATAATGTATTACAGCAACAGTCACTATAACAGTGGTAATGATATCACTGACAATAATTATCTTGAACTAATATAGTACCTTACTTCTGGGGATCACACTGTGCTTTAAAATCATCAAAGCTGCCATCTCCTCTGGAGCTTCCATCTGAGTGAAAGAAACTCAGAGCCCTGCCTAGCCAGTTCTTCTCTCAGGACATTGCTCCTTTTGTGAATTGTCCTCAATCTAAGCAATAAGGTTTCATCCAGAGCTGAATGAGCTAACAAGCTAGAGGGGGTACCAGAAGTGGTACAAATTTATGCTCTACTAAGAGCTGAGCATAAATTTGCTGCTTTCTACACCCAAGGTTTGACCAACTTGATGTATAACAGATGGTGGGACAGCTCAGGAAGAAATATGCAACTGCAAAAATGAGGCCAAGGCAAGTGACCTAAAAGGAAGGAGGGGGATACTTCATATGGAAGAAGAACAAAAGAGTCAATCATGGTTTGTATGCTTAGATTTGTTACCCCAACTGATAAAAATGCATCTTTCAAGAAGTCTGCAAACAAGTTAGTGATATTCTAGAAACACTACGAGATATGACAGGTGGAGTAAATCATTCCACTTCTTCAGACAACCCAATTTTATCTGGGTTTAAATTTGGATCTATCTCTCATCTTCATTAATTACTATTGAAATTGCAGACACTAATCCATTTACCATAGAACAAGCAGGAAACTGAGTATTCAAAGTATGATGAATCAGTGCTTTAACTAGCCAAAACATGACAGGCAAAGCTTGCTGCCGTCACTGGTGATTCCCCAAGAAGAGCATTTATGTAACTGTACAGTTATCCATAATTACACAGTGACAGGCATCCTGCTCACACACTAGGTCTGTTTGTTCTCTGCATCTTTCATAGTGCCCTGTGTCTCATAAAAGCAGTTATACAGATTAATAAAGGTGCCAGTAAAATTAATCATTTCAAATGGGGCTGTTCAACTCAGACAACTGCAGGCTTGGAAAGCATCAGCTCTGGAAATGAAGTCAAAGCCTGGCAATGCTGGCTGGGATTGAAGAAAAGCTCAGGAAACAGAACTGCCCATCCTGGAGGAATCACACTTCTCTGTAACAAACAGCCTGGTTTATGTTTGCTCCTTGCAAAATTACAGCTGGGATTATCAGAGTTGCTTCAGAGTCTAGAATCTGCATCCCAGATGGAAGCTGCATCCTTCCATCCCTTGCCAAGTATAGTCCCATTCACTTCTTTTTCTGCTGTCTAGGAAATCCTAGCAGACATGCAGTAGTTTGGTAATAGCTAATCTGCCTGGTCAGAGTGCATTTTGCCTGTGCTAGAGTTGTTTCTACTCACTCCAGTGAAAAGCAGCACCAGCTGCAGAGGGCTGCTTCAGCCCAAGGTGTTTTAATAACACTAGATGCAGCTTTTGAGAAGGGATCTCGTGTCTGCTTAGTGTTTGGGCTATGACTTGTATTACTGATTTATAATCTTCAAGTATCAGGCCAAAATGCTTCCTGCTTAAAGTTGGAAATCCATCAAAAGCAGTGACATCGCCCTTTCTTGTGCCAGCTGTAACATGGTCAGACAAGAATGTGGGGCTAAGACTGCTGGTTGCTATGTTGGGATAGGAGATGTGCCTGACTAGTGTATTTAGTAAGACATTAAGACACATTAAAGATCATATTGCTCCACTTCTCTGAAAAATACTTATATAAAAAAGGCCAGCACAATATTCCAAGAGCAATTTCCTAGATGTAATCAGTCATTCCTGCTGATGTCAGTACCAGGGATGGGGTTTCAGTGACTCCAGTCATGCTAGGCCTGCCCTTCAGGGACAACACAGTGCCTGAAAAGAGACCTGAATTCTGGTGCTTGCTTTGCAGCAGCTGAAGTGTCTGCTAAGCCCTCACGATCAGCACCTGTGTGATGAACCAGCTCTCTGTCATCACTCAAGGTGTGCTACCAGGGATGCCACTGGAAGCTGGGGAATGCGCTGCTCCTGGTCAAGCAGCTGATGAATGGTGAGGATGCTGCACGAGGAGGCAGGGGACGAGGCTGCCTTTCCATGTTGGCAGGACAGGCTGTGTGGGGAGCAGCACCTTCACCCTCAGAAATACAGCCCAAACAGCTGGGCACCAGAGACAAAAGAGCCTCCAGACTCTGAAATCTGCAGGGGATGTTTAAAAAACCAAACTGTATCAAACCCAGGAAAGGGGAGAAAGGGGAAATACAGCTCTGACCAATCATAGAGAAAACAAGCATAACTCTGACCCAGCAGAAATGAGAGTGAAATCAAAGATGTGGGAAGCAAGGATTGTCGTCATTAGCAATAAAAAAAACCAAATTGCGGTTTAGTAAGAGCTGACCAATATACTAGGTGGCAAAGTGTGAGTCAAAGCAAGTGCAGAGCTGTGAGTCATCCACCTCAAAGGGCTTTATCCTTGGATAAAAGTCCAAGAGACAGCTCAGGGAGAAAAAAGGAGTGTTGGAAAGGACAGAGACAATAGCAGAGCAGTGGGCCTCCTCACAGAGCAGAGGCCACGTGGAGGGCAAGGCAGCTATCAGCCAGTTATTCTGCCTTACTGTTATTCCTGTATGTTTCACAAATACAGGGGTCAGCCTCCTGCTCTGGGGAACTTCACCTGCAGCACAAACAAGAACTAGAGCAAGAGCAGAAAGAGGGAAGAGGCACAGAAAGCAAGTCATATCACTAAGGATGTGTGTTTGTGTGTGTGTGTGTTTAAATGAACAAACATTTATCAAGATTTTTCTCCTGAGGTCCATTTACCATGACTTTATTACTGACACAGTACTCTGCAGGAGCAATACAGCAATTAGTCAGCTGACATGGCTTGGTCTTATAAAGTAAGACGAAAAGCAAGAAACTAAATTACAGGTCAGATAAAGGCAACTGTGATAAGGATCAATGCCATTTAAGAGCGTGAAAACACAAAGTTGGAACTCTTTCAGGTGGGATGGAGAGAGGCAAAAAGGGATGGAGATGATGAGATGGCTAGAAGGACACAGAAGAGAAAGTGTACAGGATGAGAGGCCATCGAGCGTCACACACATCTAAACACAGGGTGACGTGAGTTAGTTCTAGATTACAGGGAAGCACAAGGAGTGACAGGAAGAAGCAAAGAAAATGAATATGCAGGATCTCATGCTGCTTCAAGGACAGAAAATACAAGAGGCAGGTAGAAAGAACAGGAAGATGGTCATGGCAATCACATCCGTAGTGTCTTCCATCTGCAGAGGAACACTTTAAAGAAATTCCAAAGAAATTTAAAGAAATTCCAAAGGCATCAGGACAGATCAAACCACAGATTTATCACCAGAGGATTGAAGCTAAGAGAGAACTGAGCCATGTTTTCATGTCCCCAGCTCAGTTTCAGAGTGCAAATCTAAATCAGCTCCCTTGATTTAATGTGTATTTTCCATGTTTTACAATACAACAGATGACAATAGAACCTGGTTCACTTATATCCTAGGCAAGGCAGGTGTGAGCTGAAGCAATCAAAACCACTGGAAGCTGTGCTGAAATAAAAAATTAAATAAGTGGGAAAAAATCCCGAAGGTTCTATATATTTTGAGTAATTTCATTTTCTTAGGACTTCTTAAGTCCAGTTTTAAGTAATTCTTCCACATTATCATTATCCCTCAACATCCCCTCACTTATTTCCTTGCAAGTCCCTGTATCAGGTGGGAGAGCACACCTTTTCAACTTTAAGCAAAATTTTGGTCCCACAACCACTTTTGTAGGCACTACTTTTTTATACTTTGACAGAAGATATAGAGCTTTGGCGAGGGAAGGATCTGAAATAATTAAAATAAGCAAAACCTCTGGATACTGACAGAACCATAAGTTAGTAGCCTGAAAATTAACCCTACAAAAGGCTGAAATTAGAAGAATTGATGAAATATCTACAGTCATTACCTGATTATTGAAACATTACAGATATTTTTAGGCATGGGATCTTTAATATACAAAAATATAAACTGGTTTGTTTACAAAACAAACAACTACATATTTTTTTAAAATTCTTTGTAATGACAAACATGTCCAGTATTAATGCATTATACTAAGATCTGTGTCTGTCTCCTGTCAACAATCTCTAAAGGAGAGAAAGAATGATTGTTAAACTGGAAAGCATCAGTACCGTGAACTTGTAAATAAAAGGAAAATTATGTCTGTAGGGCTTAGAAATAATATTTAAACAGAGAACAAATGCCACCATGCAGATACATGATGCATGTTCGTACAGAGAAAGCTTAGAAAAAGAACACAACTTCCCTGTATTTATTCATTCTAATGTATTACAGCACAACGTTTAGGCCACATAATAAGCTGTCAAATGAAATAAATTTCATATAATATTAGTCGAATAAAGCATTTTGGAAGACTGAAGTGCAACAGTAGTAACATTTTCAACATTACTTTAACAATCATTTCAGCATGTTCACTGGGAGAAAGAAACTTGCATGAAAAATGATTTTTGGTTCTCCCACCTTCAAATGTGCAATTTTTTTCCTTAGGAAAAAAGGAAAATTGAGTGAGCAGGCTGGATTTTTCACTTCTTTGCCAACTGTGCATATAAATAACTTGATATGCATTTATAATTTTACTGAAATCAAGGTGTGGGATGATCCATACTGGAGCATCAAAAGAAAACTTAAGTTCCACAATAACTGCAACAGGGTACACTACAGAACTGCAGGTATAAAGAAGGCTTAAGAAAAAACATCTAGAGCACAACCGAGCAATTGTTTATTTTATGTTTGTCCATGTATCGATGGTCTGAACACAAATATTTAAAACAATTACTGTTCTTTTCATTGCAATGATTACGGTTACGTATTCCAGTAACTTTAAAAAACCCTACACTAACAAACAAACTCAGATCAAACACGATGCATTAGAAATGCAATGGATAATTTGTGGATCATTAAAAACATAACAACTCCTGTGACTATCCAATAAATCAACAACTGCTGAAGTATTTTAGAGTTTATTAAAAACCCAGGAAACTTAAAAATCTCATTTTACACTCCAAAAGGACACACATATTGGTTTAGTTTTTCCTTGCAGCTGCCAGACAAGTAACCAGTCTTCCAGCAGCTGCTCAGCCACTGGCCTGACTGTAGGTCAGGAGACGTGCAGCCTCCAAGAGACAATTCCCACAAACCTCCAAGGGACAATGTCCATAAACCTCTTCCATAGAAGAGTTAGCAGTTCTGTAATCACAGAATCAATTAGGTTTGAAAAGGCCTCTGAGATCATCGAGACCAATCTGACCCAACACCACCACATCAACCAGAGCGGAGCACAAAGTGCCATGTCCAGTCTTTCCTTACCCACCTCCAGGGACAGTGACTCCCCCACTTCCCTGGGCAGCCCGTTCTAATGTCTAATCAGCCTTTCTGTGAAAAACTTCCTCCAGAAGTCCAACCTAAACCTTCTCTGGCACAGCTTGAGGCCATGTCCTCTCGTCCTACCTCTGGCTGCCCAGGCAAAGACGCTCCCCTGGCTACAACCTCCTTTCAGGTAAGCGTGGAGAGCCATAAGGTCACCCCCGAGCCTCCTGGTGTCCAAGCTCTCTGGAGAGGCCCGGTCCCTCTGGAGCGGCACGAACGGTGGCCGCGCTGCCCGGGAGGTGCCGCTTTGGGGGCTGCGCGCCGGGGCGGGCGACGGGAGCGCGGAGCTCCCGCAGGGAAGCCCTGACACCGCCCGGCAGCGCCCCGGTGCGCCCCGCACGGTCGCTGTTCCCCGGTACGCTCGCTGTGCCCCGGTGCGCCCACTGTGCCCCCGTGCATTCGCTGTGCCCCGGTGCGCCGCCGCTCGGCTCCGGCCGCCCCCCGCGCTCCGCAGCCGCAGTTCCGGCGGTGGGAGGAAGCGCGGGGCCGCTCCGCTCCGCTCCGCTCGCCGGGGGATGCGGGAGCACTCCCGCCCCCGCGGCCGGCGGGAGGCGGGCGGCGGCGCGGGCGGGGCGGACGCGTCGCCCCGCAGAGAGCGGCGGGGGGACCCAGCGGCGGGCTGCGGGCACAGGCCGGCGATGGAGGAAGGTGAGGGGCGGCTCCTCAGGCCGCGGAGCCGGAGCCGGGCCGAGGCGGTCGGGGCCAGGCCGCTGGCTCAGGCCGGCGGTGTGGCCGCCCCTCGCGGTTTGTGCCAGGGCACGGACGGAGGTGAAACGCTGGGCTGCAGGACACAGGCGGCCTCCCGGGCCCAGCCCGCCCCGGCGGCCCCTCAGGCCCCAGCCCAGCCCAAGGCAGCCCGTCCTTTGCAGCCCCAAGCGGGAGGCCGGGCCGGTCCCTAAGGGACGTGGGGTCTTTTTCACTTCCCTCGCCTGGCATTGTCTCTGGGCAGAGCGCCCGGGGCAGCATCTGTGGGCTCCGTGGATGCCTCCGTGAGTGTACTTTCGTTTTGGCATCCTTCCGTATGTTTTAGCCAGTCTTCTTTCTCGTTTCGATAAGTATTAGAGAGCATCCAAAAGAGGGCTACGAAGGTGGTGACAGGCCTTGTGGGGAAGCTGCGTGAGGAGCGCCTGAAGTCACTTGGTTTGTTCAGCCTGGAGAAGACTGGCGAGCTCTCCAGCTTGCTCAGGAGGGGAAGAGGAGAGGCAGACACTGATCTGTTCTCTGTGGTGACAGTGACAGGACCCGAGGGAATGGCCTGAAGCTGCGGATGGAGGGGTTTAGGTTGGTAATTAGGAAGAGGTTCTTTACCCTGAGAGTGGTTGGGCACTGGAACAGGCTCCCAAGGGAAGTGAACACAGCACTGAGCCTGACAGAGTTCAAGAAGCGCTTTGACAGTGCTCTCAGCACATGGTGTGGTTATTGAAGTGTCCTGTGCAGGGTTGAGAGCTGGACTTGGATCATCCTTGCAGGTACCTTCCAACTCAGTGTATTCTGCAATTCTGTTGCACTTTTAGCCTCTACACAAACTATTTTCTCCATGTCTTTTCAGTGCAAACTCCCTTTGTAGGGGGTATGAGATGGCATTTAGTTTTCTTGGAGAAATCAGGAGAAACAAAACTTAATAGGTACCCAGAAAAATGCAGGAGTAAAACAACCATATGCAAATCTGTCCATGGCATATTCCAACCTCCCAGCTGTTCTCAGCAGGGGTACTTCCTGAGTTGCACATGGTTTCTGTATGTTTAGGAGTCTCCAGTTGCTTCTCCTCCATAACTGTTTTCATATTCTCATGAATCTCTGCAAACTCTTGGTTTACAAAACATTCTTTGGGTAGGAGTGTTCTGTGTGAAGGTGATGTGCAATGAGCTGGTTCTTTTTAGCCTGACTCATTAGGTTTATTTGAGAACTTTTTGTATTAGAAAACGTGAATCACTGCTCTCTATTCAGTGTGTTTGTGCACTTCACTAACTAGTAGATGTCTGGCATGTTTCTGTTGGTCATCCTCTTTTCTAGACTGAGGCGTCTTCAATTTGCTTCCTTGTTCCTTGTATGAAAGCCATTGCACAACTTAAATCACCCTCATGGCCCTTCTCTGAATGTTTCCCCTATCTTACCCTTCTTTAGATGAGAAGACAAAAATTACAGACAGTGCTCAATTAGTAGGTGAAAAGTAGATGAGTGTAGTGGCACAAAGTAGGAATGAGTTATGTTTTTCTGCAGTAGAAGCACAAAAATAAGTGGAACACATGTTTTCTGAACAAGAACTTGTTTGAACTGGGGACTTACATGGAACTGAAAAGCAGATGAAGAATTACGTGCTGGATAGAGAGTTACTAGAGGCTGTGTCATCAGTTCAAAATTCTAGATAATTCTTATTGTTACCTTGTTTGACTTTCATATCACTCTGAGGGATTCATTGAAGTGAAAACAGCATTTTTCTTGTTTGCGGCAGCAGCAGGAAACAGAAGTAACACACTCACATCTTTTTGTGGTATTGCTTTGGGGTGGAATATGTAGAGCAGTCTTCAAAACTGAGGTGAAGATCTTTTGCTGATTGAGATGTTGTTTCAGAAGTAGAATTTTAAACTGTTCCTTCTTTGGGAGCTTTCTCTTACTGCTGTTAATGCTGTGCTTTATAAGTTTGTTACTCTTCTGCTATGGTTCACTTCTCTGCCAGAGAAGCAAAGGCCTTTTCCTCCAGTGTTCTCAATGCTGTTGCTTTGATCATAACTAGAATGACAGGGGCACTCAGTTGTCCTTCCAAGCACATATCTGCCCACTTTTGTGATCTAGGGTTTTCTTCTGCTGTGTTTTGTTTTATGGTACAAATTATTTTTAACTGCAGTGCACTTGGTGTTTGCATTGCTGATAGACTTCTCATATACATGTCATGAAGACATGCTAGTATACATTTCATTTTGGATTGACATGAAGATAAATGTGATACTGAACACCCTAAACCTTGTGTTGTTTAGAATCTTTCCAGTTCTTGTCTTAAGAAGGTAGACATTTTCTGTTCATTCCGTGAAAAATGTTACCATTGAGATCTTGGTTTGCTCAGAGTGAGTTATAATTTGCTCTGTTAACACACTGGTGTCCTGATACAGGCAGACATCGTTTTAACCATTTATATTTCTATCTCTAGTTTCTAACTTTTAGATTTAATAGCCAGGAATTAAAAGCAGACTGAATTAGAATTGAAGTAATTAATATACAACCAGGGTACTTAAAAGCTTTGTTGTGGGGTGTGAAGATTGACACCTCAAGTTTGAAGTTGGGTGGATTTATGAAGGAGCTGTTTTAAGTCCGGAGGAAAACTGGTGGCTGCAAAATTTCAAGCAATGTTGGACAGTAGGTCAAATGGGAGAGCTAAAAATTCTGGAGCGTGAATTACAGTTAAACCTTTTCATTACAGTTCCAAAATGGCATAAATGTTGTGGGGTATCTTTAATATAGGAATTATAAAATACTTTTTGCAATGAGTCTTTTGGTATTCACAGACCTGCAGTCTGTGAATTAGCCTCATTGCCTTTCAGACTGTAAAATAAATGGACCAGGACTCCAAACTGCTGCTGCTCACAAAAAAGTGAACAGAAGCCCTTGGTCTTGAGATGTGATCTATGTGGCTTAGCAAACTGGGCTTTAAAATTATGTGTTAGACTAAATATTCATAAATTGCTTAGTTCCAGTAGATCCAAAAGCAGGAAAAAAAGTTATATTACATTTGCTTTATAAAAGCCTTTGCCAAATAAATAATAGGCATCTTAATTTAAAAGTGATGGGCTAGCCCAATTTTTGTGTTACACTGCTATAGCACCAAAAAACCAGGATGAGGAATTGGCACCAGTTTCTCCCAGTGTCTGCATCAATTTATCTAAACTACTGATTTCCTTCATTTGTGTTCACCAAATGGAACAAACCAGTTAGCTTCCAGTTTGTGTTCTGGGTAGTCCCAGAGTATGGCCTTAAGAGATTACTGTTGTTTTTTCTAAGGAATAACATAAGAATTGATTTCTGTAGTGTTATATTGTTATTTTAGTTGGTCATATGACATACTTTAACTGAGTCTTTGTCAAATATATCTTCCATGGGATTGAATCAGTAGCAGTAACTGGGTGCTACCTGCTGCTGTGTGGATTTCCCAGTGTGATTTTATGTGTTATGTTGCAATAACTTGAAAAAAAATGTCTTCAGGGGCAGCAGACCTGCGACAGAGAAAGAAACAAAACTGCACAGAATCTGACAAAATGGCTCCAGAGGAGAGAAACAAAGAAAATTCAAAGCTGGGAAAGTCGCCAAAATGTAAGCTACAGAATTTTTAGCTGACTTTTGATTGTTTTTTCATTATTCTCTTACATTTTATGGGAAGATATTTGTAGCGTGGTAATGTATAACAGACTTGCTTTGAATTAGGTTTTTGAATATTTCAAGGGAAAATAGGCATGCACACTGGAGTTCTTTAATAATGACATTTTATGCACTGGAGAGTGAAATGGTCGTCTTGGACCGTTTCAGGCTTGGGGAGGTAGAGGCAGGGGAGTTAAAAATTTACTATTACTGTTTGCATACAAATAATATTTGTATTGCTCCTGGAATGATCTTCTGGTTGGAAGCTGATATGCATGAAGTAATGGTTCTGAATCAAGAACAGACAAAAAGTCCTTACAGCTTTTCAAGAGCAGAAGTAAAATTAGGTATAATTTTAGGCAAGTGCTCACCAAGCTACCAAAAGCTTTTGTGTTAAAAGTACATACTAACTCAAGGGAGCTACAGGTGAAGTAGACACCCTTTGAATGAGTTTGGTAAAATTCAGATTAATTCGTTCTTATATTCAAGAACAGAATGGAAAATAGAATGTCTCAATAATTATGTTAGATGTGCTAGGCCACCTCTGTCTGTTAATGTCTTTTAGAAGTTTGTGGTGTTTTGGGTAGAATCTAGAGTTTGCTCTATTTATCTGGAAGAGGCTTTTCCTTCTTGGAATTAATTTGACAACAAAGCTTGCTGGAGAAAATTTGCAGTGTAGTGTGTTGAATATTTGTCTGAAAGTCCTGTGAAGCAATGATAACAACTGGGAAAGAAAACTACAGGACAGGAGTAACAAACCAGTTTTCAATGTATCTGTGCTGCTGATGGTATGATAATTGTCATGCCAGTAAGGTCGCTTGTTGTTCAGAAAGAAGAGTAGAGAAAAAAAAAAAGTAAAGAAAGTAAAGAAAAGTAGAGAAAGAAGTGTAGGATGTGCTGTTTGTTTCTCAATCCTCTGGACTATTTTGTTCATTTTCAGATATGCTAATCCAGCGTTTTGCAAAGCTTTTCTTTGGCTGTCTCGCAGCAGTCACCAGCGGAATGATGTATGCTGTGTACCTCTCTACATATCATGAACGGAAATTCTGGTTTTCCAGCAGGCAGGTAAGGATAAACTACTGAAACAGAAGCCAGATTGTGTCCTTGAAATCAAATCTGATCCATGTCATGTTGAAACTACTTGCAGTCCTGTGTCCTTCTACTGAGGCCTCTGTCTTTGAAGCAACTTCTTTTTTTTTGTCTTCTTTATTTTCTTTTTTTTCTCCTCCTGCTCACAGTTGTTGTGGCTTGTCATGCTTTTTTGTGTTTTTCCATACCACCCTTTATCCTTAAAATACCTTTCTAAAATATAGAAAAATAACTGAACCATACTGGGATTGCAGAAGCTAATCAACAGGAATATGTGTTGGGCTTTTTGGATTTTTTTTTTTTTTTTTTGTGTTTTATGGTTGGTTGGTTTGGTTTTGTTTTCTTAAGAACTCCATTATTAAGTGAAGTATAGAAAGTCAAATGAAATTCGGGTTTATGAATATGAAAAGTTCCTGTGGATTTTTTTGCTGACTTACAGTGTGGATTTGAGTTGCTCTGATTCCAAGCATGTTTGCTAAGTTACAGAGAGCATTATGTACCTGATAGAAATGCTGTGAAGATTAATGTTTTGTGGAATATTTTGAAGATGTACAATGAAGTCATAACCATGTACTGTGTTGCAAAACTGGTCTATCTGAAAATACATTGTCTTCTCAGGAAAGAGATTTCAGGCGATTAATATTTTTTTTTTCTAGGAACTTGAACGAGAAATTACATTTCAGGGTGACAGTGCCATTTATTACTCGTTCTATAAAGAACTGCTAAAGGCTCCTTCCTTTGAAAGAGGTACAAAATTCATTTGTTTTATTAGCTTTGAAAAGTGCTGTTCACTTTGAAGACAGTAAAAAACTCCTGCAGACTGTGGAGACTAATTTTATTCTCTTATGTAGGTATATTGGTCATATTAATTCAAAACCACACACTGTCCTAATTTTTCAGTGCCTTTTCAAAAACAGTATTTAACTACCCTGTATTCCAGCAGATTGCCTTTAATCAATACTCTAGGATAGGGTTAATATTACTCTTATTATGCTCTGTATCAAAGTTATCATTGGGTTTGCCTGTGTCACAATAGTGGATTTTCCTGCCATGTAAATATAATTTATGTTGAATTTGGGAATGAGGGATGAAAATTACTGTTTTCCATCCTCTGTCAAAAGACAGAACAGTTTCTGTCACAAGCTGATCTGCTCCATCCTGTCCCTGCCAGAAGTTTTTAATCTTGTCAGCTGTGATGAATAAATAGATGCTGATGAGCACTGAGTGGTGGGGACAGAAAGGGGCAGGAAGGAGAACAGACTGGGTGACAATGATCTTCCTTTGTGCTCCTGCTCTTTACCCTGCACTGGCTCTGGCGCTCTGTGACCCTGGGTCCCTGAACCAAAAGGAAACTAAAGCAGTGAAGGAAGAAGGAGCACTTCCATGCTTGTTCAGGGAGTTCAGAATGCACTGCACTAGCATGGGGCTGGAACTCAGGAGAGAGGAGGATGAACTGCCCTATCTTGCAGTGGTCAGCCACTGAATTAGTTCAGTCCCTTTGTGAAACCTCACTGAAGCCAGTAAAACTAAACTTTGTGGTTAGTGTGTTATTGGTTGAATAGTTTCCCAGCTGAAATGTAGCACATCAGCAATATCTGAGCTCTTTGGTACACTCAGTGCCTCATACCCTCTGGGGATATTGCCCATGCTGTGAGTGGATGGACTGCATGCCTTATTCAGGGACGCCAGCTCTGCAAAAGGTAGAGTCATGTCTACAAGGTATTACAAGGCATCCCATCTTCAAGAGAGTATTACAGCTGTGCTGAACCCAGTTTTAAGTCCTGAAAGAGCTGGTTTGGCCTACAGGGAACCAACTGCACACCATACACCAAGATATGCTCAGAGCTGGAAACAGTTGTCTGGTTTGACTGTTGCATTGTTTTTGAGGCTTTTGGTCTCCTCTATATCTTGATTTGGGTTGTTTTTGCTCTTCCCTCTGTTGTTCTAAGTATTAACAAGTCTTTTCTTTATTTATAACATTTTGGAATGATCTTGGAATGATCCTTAAGTATGGCAGTTTCAATTCCATCTTAACCCCATAGAAAGGCACGTTGTGTTTGGCGAAGGGTTCTTAGACATCTCAGAAACGCGGAGCTGAAAGGGGTGATGAGGCCGTCATGTCTGATGTCCTTCTGGAGACAGGTTTAATACATCCTGCTCATCCCTGTTAGATCTGTCTCACTCCTTAAGATCTTCCTGTGAAGGTGATCTATAGGCATGTAGTTCCAGGACTGAATCAGTGTGTTACTGAAAAGACTGTGCTTCAGATGATAAATTTTGGGCCTTCTGTTTAAAGACTAGATAACAAAAGGGTAATAACTTTCTAGCTAGATCAGTAAGTGGAATGACATCTAACACGGAAGTTTCTCCTTCCTTTTAAACTTGGTGTGGTGAATCAGTCAGTGGCTTTAATGATCAAATCTTATTCTCCCTGCCTTTGAATACACTTCAGTCTCTTTTAGGAACAGCAGTAGTAAGTGATTCCAGGAATATTTTTTTTTTTTTTGTCTGTAGGTGTTTATGAATTGACACACAACAATAAGACAATATCACTGAAGACCATAAATGCTGTCCAGCAAATGACTTTGTACCCAGAGTTGATTGCCAGTGTTTTATATCAAGCATCTGGTAGCGAAGTATGTGCATTTATCCTATTTTCTGTACCTGCATTTTGGTTGTGTGTATGTGTGTACTTGCATTTCCCTGTGTGTGTGTGTGTATGAGACTTTCTGTGCTATACCCAACTAATACATACATTTTTTGTTGAATGAATTGAGCTAAGGCTCTCACCACGTCCAGATTCTCCTCAATTCTGATCAGTCTCTGGCATTTTTGGGGTTTAACACTAAGCAGTAACTTTTTCTGTCATTCTTTACTTCTACAGACTGCTTAGAAATGTCAGGAGTATCTGTGCTATCCATTAAAAACAGGAGAGTTAGTTAACTCCTTTGGAGTACAGAAGTCTGTTATAGTGGTACCTGTCTGCCCATTCTCATAGGGAAAAACACTTCTGTAGATTAACCTTTTGTCAGTTTCCACTTTACTCAGGCTTTGTTCTGCTTATGCTGTGTACTTGTGTCCTCTCTCATTATCTTTCCTTTTTTATTATTTACTTATTTTGGAACCATTTTTGCCACATCTTTACTTCTTCAAGTTCTTCCCTTTTTTATCTTCTCCTAGTAGTCCTCTGAACTTTATATCCCACTGCAGCATAGATTATTAAATCTGACATGTAGAGTGTTCAAGCTAAAGCAAATTCAAAAATCGTGGCACTGGCAAGCTGAGTCCTGAAGTGTGCACTTAATTCACACTGCTTTGTTCTTCCCCATGTTTTATTTGAGCCCCAAATAAAAGCATGCCCAGTACTTTTCTAAAAAAGGAGGCGTCTCTTACCTGTTTGTAAAGCACCTAGCACATTGTTAGCAGTGACAAATTGTAAATAGTAATAATTTCCAGCTTCAGCTGCCACTATGTCTCTTCGTTTTTATTTGTAATTTCAGGAAGTTATTGAACCAGTGTATTTCTACATTGGTATAGTTTTTGGACTGCAGGGAATTTATGTGACTGCATTGTTTGTAACCAGTTGGGTTATGAGTGGGACTTGGCTGGCAGGAATGCTGACTGTAGCATGGTTCATTATTAACAGGTAAGAAAAACATCTTTATACAATCTAGTTTGTCAATAAGGAATTTTAAAATATTAGTGGATTGAAGTGATTTTAATTAGTGGATTTAAATGCTTCTATTAAGCTTTGTGTTCTCACTGTGAGAGCAGAATCTTGTGGTGAACAGAAAACATTTCCAAGAGCTTAATTGATTCTTATGATGATTTTTTTTTTAATGGAAAGGCCTCCCGTTGTCCAAATCATCCACATTACCAGTTGAACTGACTTTATATATGTGTGTGAATACAGGAGTATTCACACACAATTTCATTTTTAAAAAATATTCCTCAGAAGGTTTGGTTTTGTGCTGATGAAGAATGAAGACAAATGTTGAAAACAGCTGTAAAACAGAGCTGCGCTCTCTGGCCAGCTCTAAAGGTTGTGGCAGTTGTGTGGTAGCATAGAAAGAAATTATCAAGACCATTTTTTTGGTCAAGATTATTTGATTTTTTTTTTAAGTCTTCTTTTTGTGCGGGTTTTTCTGCAAAATGGAATTTTCTTAGATGATCTTAATATCAAGACTTTTTTTTTTATTTTAAAACAATTCCCTTGGAATTCCCCTTCCCCCTGTGAAGCACCACAATAATAGGGAGCCTCATTTGGGCAATGAAAACGTATGTTCATGCTCTTGGTTTGTCACCGTGCAACTCTGGGGCTTTCTGTGAACCTGAGAGCACTTGAAATAAAAGAACTATAGAGCAAAATGTTAGAGATACACCTTTAAAGTTGAACTGTTGGGAAGCATCTTCCAGGAGTGTGAAGTCGTCATGACAGAATCTGTGATTAGGAGCTGAAAATACTGGTCATCAAGCTGGTGTGAACAGTCGAAAATAGGAAAAATGGTGAATAAATCTGTAATTTTTTTCAGCAGTGAATAAGATTACAGTGTCAACAAAACGAAAGGTTTAGTAGTTAAAAAAGCTCCAAATATGCCTCTATAAGAGGCTTCAGATGAAAAAATGAAAGGTAATGCTTTTAAATACCTAAATGATAAAGGAGCTTGAGGCTCCTTTTTAAAGGCATAGTAGACACAAAGCAGACTATGTACCTGTGAGACTGATACCTTTGATCACATTTGAAAGTGTAGCTTGTGTTTCTGAGTCACTTTAGCACTTTTAAAAACTTTCACCTGCACCTCTAATTGTGTGGATACTGTCAAGTCATTCCATGAGAAAACCCTGCATGCTCCCCATCCATCTTTAATCTCTTGTTTTGCTGGGCAGAATTTTTCTCTGTAGACAAAATATTTGCTGCTGTTGCTGTGAGGGAGCACCAGTTTGTATCCTAAGTATGTTGTGCTCAACTACCTAAATCACTTGTTTAAAACATAATGTATGAGAACTGGAAGGAATCTTTTCTCTCAGCTGTGAGCTGATTTTCATTGCAGGTCAGAAAAAGCTCAAGGCAGATGCTTTTTGGCTTCAGTCCTATAAATGCCAGTTGACATGAAAACTGCTAAATGGATGAGTAAAGATTGGGCCTTCCATGCTGTTAATAAATTTGTGAACTGTATCAGCAGCAAAATTGTGTCAGTGTTACTTTGCAGCAAAATCAGGAAAAGTTTGCTTGCAAAGGCCACATTTACAACTAGGAGTGGCATTTAGGCTTTCCTATTTTTGTACAACAAATATATTAATATTTCTGTTTCTTTGTACTTTATTCTAGGACAGACACAACAAGAATTGATTATTCCATACCATCAAGAGAAAATTGGGCTTTGCCGTATTTTGCATGTCAAGTAGCAGCTCTCACAGGTTATTTAAAAAAGAACCTAAACTGTTCTGCTGAGGTAAAGCAAAATTAGTTTCTTAATAAAGAGCTGTGGATAAAACTGTACTCTAGGTTAGTTACTTCTGTTATTGTTGCCCTTCTGGGCAGAAAACAGTAGAAGTTTTGTTTCTTCTTTTCAAAAGAGCCAGTTGGATTTCGCCTAGGCATGTGCAGTTTTTGCTACACAACTTGTGCCCTACCTTGTTATGCCCCCAGGAAGGTTCAGAGAGAACAGTGTGTTAATGGGCCCTGTGCTGCTTGGTTTTGAATAAACCTAGGCAGAATTTTTCTCATGTAAACTGTTTTTCTTGAAGAAGATGGTTGTTACTTTCTTACCCTGACTCTGTCTTAAAAATATTTCTTCTGATTGGCTTGAAATGTTTTTGAATATTTCAGTAATTACTTTCTCCATATGAAAGTTAAGCACGTCTGAAGTCAGTATTTTAATTATTTCTCAGAACAATAATTAATTTCTGTAGTTTATGTTTTAATGACCTTTCAGTTACTTGGTGACAGACATGCATGGGTACAAAATTAATGCTTTTTCTTTTCTTTTTTCCTTCTAGAAGTTTTGTTATCTTTTGGTGAATGCCTCAACATATACCTTCATGATGATGTGGGAATACAGTCATTATCTCCTGTTTGTCCAGGCTGTTTCTCTTTTCCTACTAGACAGCTTTGCCCTAGCACAGACAGAGAAGGTATTGGAACTTTTCAGCCTACTGACAGTTGGGGACTTACAAGCAGCCTTTGAGGTGTCTGCCATGCATACTCCTCAGGAGCTCCAGAGGGCACAAGGCTGAGAGATTAGTGTCTTGCAGCCTGGGCCCAGCTGAAATGCATGTGATGCCCATCAGAAGAATAAAATAACTTTAAACTGAGTCTCTTTTGGAGTGCTGTTTTTGGGATAGAAGCTAAACAAAGCTTCTGAGGCCTGAAACATCCTTGGAGAGCTAAAAGAGTGATGAATGATATTCCTCTGTTTTGGGCTAGCTGCCTCTTTTCTTTCTCCTATTCACAGCAGGGTGGGCAGACCAACAAAGGGCTTTGTTGGCTCTGTGCAGTTAAAGGGCTCATTTTCACCCTCAGTGGCCTGTCCTGCACTGCTTTAGCAATAGATAGACTAGACAGATGTTGAAGGCAAATTGATTTTTGAATACAAGAAAGTATTTAAATTTATTCTGCAAAATGGTTCTTAGAAATGTTGCAACAAGGTGTTTTTATTCTGCCTGCTGCAGTTGTATATATGCTTCTTTGTACATGCATGCCTTTTGATTTTGTTAGATATCAAACTGCATGCAATTCTAATTCTCCACCTCTTCTTTCAGTTTCTTTTTATTCTGTTCCTAAACAGTGGGAAATGTTTGATCTATTGTAGTTCAAAGCAGAGTGTATAAGGGAGAAAATGGGTGTTTTGGTAAAAATCTGAAGAATCAAGCATCAAGGTTTATAACATCTGCTTTTCAAGTAGTAAATAACAGCAAGTATAGATAACAGTCATTATTCATTCCTGAGACAGATTAATGAACAAGTTATTTTGAGGGCAAGAAAGCACCTGTTTACATGTGAGCTCTGTCACAAACTGTGTGTTCCTACTTGTGCCTTGTAGTTACTGCTTCATGCTGCATCACAGGGGGATGTTACTGAATGGGGAGACCTGGTCTGTTTCTGACATTTTTACAGAATTCTTTTGAAGTAATTGTCCATTAGATAGCGAGGCTGACCAGGATAATTTTCATGTGCAATGCTTTCCAGAGCCAAATGGTACCCTGCTAGATTCATGAGTTGAAGGATTGAAATCCATTAATCCCCTGATTAACAGAGGAAGTGAGCTATCTACTGGTCTAAAAACTAGGATTTATATCCTAGTTTTATTTTATTGTTTATTTTTTTTCTTCAACAGGTGCACGAGGTGTACAGAATCTACCTTTTTTCTGTCATCGTGGGATACCTTCTGCAGTTTGAAAATTCAGCCTTACTAGTATCACCATTACTGAGTCTTGTGGTAGCTTTAATGCTCTCCAAATCCCTTCAGGTAAGTAGACTTTCTTCTAACCCTGAGTGTAGTTTTAAAATTTAAACAGAACTCTAAAAATTATACAGCATTCTTTAAATATTTTTTGCAGATGAATATGAAAAAAAGCACATTTGTGTCAAGATTGCTGAAAATAATGTATATTTATTTGGTACTTACAGTAGCAGTGACACTAAACTTCTTATTAAAGGTAAGATTCCTCTAAAAAAGTGATTTTAATTTCAGAATCTAAATTAAAAGTTGCAGATACATCTTGAAAAAATCTTTTAAAATGTTGCTTATCTTATTGATATGACAGTTCATAGCTTAATTCGTAATTAGTATGTAGCAATTCAAACAGCTTCGTTATGTTGGGGTTTTGGTCTTCTGGGTTGAAACAGTATAGAAATACTCTTTAAAAGACACTTTATCTGTTTTATAAATGTGGGATTTGTTATAACTTGAATGACCTCTACAGACTAGTCTGAATATTAAAACAATATTCTTGTGCATGGTGACACAATAGCCAGGAGCAAGTATGAGTGGTCTTAGGGTAGATATTAATTTTCCTTTACATTTCAAGTAGAACATGGGAACAGAGGCTTTCCCTTTGTGTAGGAGTCAATTAGGAGTTGAGATTACACAGTGGGATTTTAGCCTGGTCTTGTACTTTGATTAGGAATTCCCTCTTGCTGGCCTTTTACACATATTATTGTGTTTTTCTTCTATGCCTCAAACTCACCATGGTTGTGTTAATTAACAGTATTAACTTAAAAGTAAAGAAACTACTGAACCCTAGAAGGCTTGAAAGAATGCTCACATGTAATTATTTTCCTGTGCCATTCAGAATGGCTAGCCTTGCTGTATCTCCAGGAAAATAAAATCCAACCTTGAAAAATATGTGTTAAATTACAGTTATGAGTAAGTTGCAGAACTTTAGGCAACTCAGACAGTCTGTGTGAAGATTACAAATGCTCATGACTTCTGCTCAGCTGCTGTCCTATTTTCTAGTGGAGCCAAGTGCAGCACTCTTAGGATTGCTTGGGAGTAAGTCTGGGTCTGTTTTTCATGATCCTTTTACACTGCTCAGTAGTCTTTTGACAACTTATTGGCAGCTTTTCACTTGCCCTCCTGGTGTGGTATGGGAGTGGAATAAGGGAATAATATTCTCAAGGAAACCCTAAATGTAGATTTATTGAAGATTTACAATGCTATACCAGTACCTTCACTAGCACACTTAATCCATTTTGTTAGTTTTAACTAAGTCTTGAATAGTTGATTGTTACCTGACATTTTGTAATCTGAATGACTATGTGAAAACTGCTTCCAGCATTTTGTGTGATTTTTCTCTGCTAAACTAATTTTCAGATGTTCATTCCTCATAAAGAAAATGAGCATTTGCTGAAGTTCATTGAAGTAAAACTTGGCTTAAACACAACTAAGTAAGTTTATTTAAACTCTTTACACCTCCCAAGATATCAAAACTTTTGAAACTGCTCTGAGAAGTGTAACATTACAGTGGCTTGTGAGAGTTTTATAGAGGAGCTAGGGAAATAGTTTAGTTATTTGTTGTCTGGTTTTAAGATTGAAATAAAAAAATATGCACATACAGCATTTACTTAGGGTTTTGAGGTTTCTGAAGTACTTCAGTATTTTTCATGCCTTAGGGTGAAAGCATTTCATGGATTTTTGTTCTTTTGTGATGTTGAAGAGTGAAAACTTTCTGTATCCTGTTTAGTGTTTCTAATAAGACTTGAAAGCAAAGATAATAGGGTAAAGGTGGCAGTATGAGCTTTTTATAGCCTGGAAAAAAAGGCTCTGGAAAGAGTCATGAACTATTGATACTATCTCAAAAGAGGCTTGGCTTGTGGGTACCCCCAATATTCCCTGTATGTTTTGGAAGAAATTAGGACAAGGGACATCTTAAAAGTCAGAGGGAATTGTGATTCTAAAAAAAACATTAGTATCTGTAAAAGAGTTGGATGTTGGACTGCAAGAAGACGTCATGGCAACAGATTTTCTGGAAAACTTCCAGTGGAGTGTTAGTAAGGACTGACACACTCCTGGACCCAAGCCAAGACTTGCAATTCTGTGCAGGAATTGGAACTCTCTCTGAAGAACTGCATCTCTCTTACAAAAAACTACTTCACAGCCTTTCAGGGGAACAAGTGGAAAATGGCATCACACCCAACTGAAACTGTTGGGGAACTTTTGGAAGACAGATGTTTTTTACAATGCATTGTTTATCACACACACATACTCATTCTTAAGTGTTTTGTAGAAAAGAAAGGACTCCTGGTCAGGATTTCAGTTTATTCAGCTCCCAGGCATTAATGGATTTCCCTCTTTTTCCCCCTGGGCCTTGCTAAATATCACTTATCAGACTGTCAGACTCTGCAATGAAGCCAGAGATTGAGACAAACTGGGTGCCTTTACGCCTGGAACGCTGTGTAACTGTGTATTGGAGTTATGATTTGCAGCACAAGAGCTTCAAGATCAGTCTTTTAAGGCCAATTTGGACATGCCCAGCTGTTAATCTTTAAACTGATTCTGTCTAATTGAAAGTGGTTCTGTCCTCTAGTCTTCCCTTGGGAGAAAATGAAAGAGGGAGGGAAGCAAAACAAAGTAAGACAAGGATGCATTCACAGGCACCACATGCTGCACCAGTTCCAGCTGACAAGACACACTGACAGTGCTTCTGAGCAGAGTGTATCACCTTCCTCCTTGCTAACTGAGAAAGAAGAATGATAAATTGGCTTCAGCTACAGAACTAGAATTTCAACATTAAGGATTTTATTCCTGGCAGTGTCTCAGGCTTCTTTGTGATCTCAGATGACCACTTTCCTTTCTTCATCTCCTTATTTGGAATGAGGACAAGCATACCTTCTTGCATCAATATCTCTGAAATCTTAATCCACCGTGACAACAAGATTCTTTTGGTCCCCATAATGGAGTTACGTGGGAGGTTGGGCTTTTGAGATATAAAGGATTTGTAGTCTGGTCTCTTCAGATCACAGATACTTTTTGGGAAGATAGACTTTTGACAGTTACCTTGAAGAGTATTTGTAAAGCAGATAAAAAGGTAACATCAAAGATTAATTTCAAGTCATTTCCTATGACATGAATAGGTTAAACTGCAATTGTTTTGTGCTGGATTGTTGGCTTTTTTCCTAATCTATGGGATATTATTACTGTTTTTAATTGAATATTTTTGCCTTACTAGGAATTTTACAATGAATTGGCTCCTTTGTCAAGAATCTCTTCAGGCACCCTCCCAAGACTTTTTTTTGCGACTAACACAGTCGTCACTGTTGCCTTTTTATATTTTAGTATTAATTATCTGCCTTTTTTCTGTAACTCAGGTCATTTTCAGGAGAATTTGGTGAGTAACTTGTTTATGTGAAAAATAAGTTAAAAATAAGAGGTTCCTGGATGCCTCAGGGAATGGTCTGTCACTCCAAAGTTTGTTTTACTATTGAACTTGTCAGGGTGTGAGCACCAGTGGGAAGGCCCACCAGAGCCTCCTAAAGAAAAGTCCTTTAGTGAGGAGGTTCAGGAGCATCCCTCCTGTCAGGACAGGGAGTTGTCATTGGTTTGTTTCCCTGCAGGTGCAATTCCTGCTGAGCTCTGGCTAATGTTTACTGATGTGTTTATGTCTTCCCACTGACAGAGAAAGATTACAAGATTTTATGTGTAATTCTCCTAGAACTTGATTTTCTGTTTTGGATTTGGGGTTTTTGGTTTTTTTCCAAGTTTACATGTTGAGAAAGGTGAGATGGGTGGAGCTGAGAGGGCTTTGGATTTCTGATGCTTCAGTGTTGTTTTTTAAAAACACTTGTTTACTTTGATAAAGTCCACTAGCCTTTGCTGCTTGGAACAGAACTAAAGTAAAACTGACTCAATTAGTTTTAGTTTCACAATAATTCACAGTTCCCTCAAGAGAAGGGGTAGTGGAACTCTCTTTGTAAAAAGACTAAGAATACCAACAATGTAGATCCTAGCATAACTTGTCTTGGAAACTCAGTGGTTAGGAAATTATCTCTTCCTGGTAGAAGATGAATGGTGAAACTTCTCAGATACTGGAACAAATTTCGCACTTGTCTGCAGCAAAAATCAATAGATTTATTTCAAGGATGAAGGCTTCTAACAGATAAAGATTATGCTGCTGTAAATGAAAATGTTTGTCAGGTTGAATGTGTGATAGGATATTCAGAACAATGGAGCAAATTTCTTATTGTTTGCTAGTGGTTGAAATAACTATTTATTACTTTGTAATGAGCAGTGACTACATTATGTCCAACACCTTTTTAAAAGAAATCTTAAAAGAAACCTTTTCCTCTCTCTTTTTTTTTAATAATTTAATAATCTCAAAATATTTTTTCTAATTTTCATAAGGAAGCTTATTATAAAAATGTAAACAGAAATCACATAATGGTAGAAGGAATTGTTATCGATTCTGTGCCTTGCTATGTTAGTAGAAAACCTTCCACTGCAAGATTTTGGCTATGATTTTTATTTATTATATATAATTAGAATTTATAATAATGTGACTAAAAGCTACTTCTGTTGTTTTTGTTGTACACATGTTCCATACACAATTATCATCCTACAGATTCCATAATTCTTTACCATGCTAATGGTATGAAGGAACTTAAAATGCATATTCAGCATGATTTGTCTAAGTGTTTGTAGAGTGTACATGCTCTTAAATTAGACTGTCTCTTGGTGCTGGATTACCTTAAAGTAAGATTTGTGGTCATAAGCAGTGATCCCATTGTATTATTGACAGCCATTGCTCCAGAGAGGTTACAATCTAAATCAAGGGACAGTGGGTACTGATAGGTCATTGATCAAGTACAAAAAGCAAGTAAACAGTGCAGCAATATTATATGTTATGATATGGAATTATCTCAGTGCACTGCTGACTCAAAGGTATTTTTATTGGCACCTTTTCCTGGGATAATATCTGAATTAAGTGATATCTCATTTTCTCCAACTGCAGTGGTGAACCACTGAAAGAGACAGTTAAACTTGAGGATGGTCGAATTGGAGAGAGGCCAGAAATAGTTTATCATGTAATTCACACAATTTTGCTTGGTTGTCTAGCGATGTGTTTGGAAGGGTAAGTCTGATTTTGATGTATCTCTTTTGAAAGTAACAGAGTTCCTTACTGGACATGATGCACTGTTTACCCCTTTAAAATCACCCTTTTTCAGAAATAATGTTGACATTTAGTGATGCTACTTAGGAGTAGTCCAAGATAATTTTCATTATAAGTTGCATATGGTTATATGAACACTTGTGCTTGGTCTCTTTAACTTCCAAGCCTTAATGCAGCCAAGATCCAAGACATTAATTGAATCATATTTTAATAACTTTCTTTATGGTATATAAGTGTAGAACTGTGCTGCAATTATTTTTAGCAAGAATGTGTGTAGTGTTTTGATGAACAGAATAGTGCTGGAATATTGGGACATGGAAGATTTCTTATCCATCTTCTTGTGTGTAGGCTACCACAAAATATACTTTTGCTTGACACATTAAAGCAGTAGCAGAACCAATTTCAAAAGTATTGTGTTAGTCCTTAAAGCTGGAGAAGCTGATGTTTGGAAGATGTTGTTGTTCTAATCTTGTTTCTCAGCTTAATCAGCTTGAAGATGTCAGGTTGTGTTTTTATTAGGCTCCTCATCCTAAAATCTAAATATTCACAAATGTTGCTTAAAGTGAGCAGACTGTTGTCTTGTCCTGTAGTTTTTCTAAGTTAACTAGTCTGCCGTTAAGAGTTAATTAAATATTTTCCTTTCCTTTCTTCTGGAAGTCCCTAATAGAACATTATCTGTACAGCTTAGCTGATTAGCTGCTTTTTATTCCTTCTTGGCTGGAAAATCAGCCAAGTGAGTTTACCATTCTCTTTGTTTTTCTTTCATCCTCCCCTGAACTCTATGAAGGATTTTGTCATCTTTTACCTTGGATCTTTCTCCTCCATCTCTCAGCAGATAATCAGCTGCCAGCTCTTCTGCTAGAGATTTCCTTGGTTTACCCTCCAGTACCATCAAAGTTGACCTCAGATTGTTTGAACATCCAGACTTTGTTTGACATAAGAAAAAGATCTGAATGTTTTATAGTAGCTTGAGTACAGAAGCATACACAGGGTCCCAACTAAGTTATTGCAGTGTTTTTCAGAATGAAATATCTATGGACACCTTATGTTTGTATGCTTGCTGCATTTGGTGTGTGTTCTCCTGAACTTTGGATGACGCTTTTCAAGTGGCTTCGACTGAAAGCTGTGCACCCAATACTGCTGGTGAGTTGCTGTTACCAAAGTCTTGGAAAATCCAGCTAGGAAGTATATAGCTTCGCAGACAAGAAGTACCTAAGACCCATGAAAGAACTCATGAAAACAGCAGGTTGTTCTGTGAGCAGTGGATTGCATATGGTCTGCTTTTTCTGTCTTTTCTTCTTAGGATCACTTGTTCTCGGGTACCTGGTGATAAAGTTGCATTCACACTACAGTCTTTTATCATAAAAAGCACAGCTGTCTTCATCTCCCTTTCACTCTTCCCAATTTCTTTTAGCAAATATTTGAGACCTCAATCTTTCTTCCATATCTAGTTGGGATTGGTTAAGAAGGTCGTGCATTTTTAGGAGGAATGCAGGAGAAAGAGTACTGATGCACAGGGAAGGCATAAGCTTTGTTTCACTGAGAAATGGGTCTTAAAATGGTGTAGTAAGGTGAATTTAACTGCTAAGAGTAAAACTGCTTCATAAGAAATGGTAAGTTGAATTGTTTTGTATAAGATTAGTTCATGTATATATTCATATAGAGAAGTGTGACTGAAGATAAGCTTATTACAGGGCAAACAACTCCCCTACTTCCAGCCCTAGCTTTATTCTCAATATGACAAGAGTTGCTTTGTGTGATTTTAGCAGCTTTGTGCATTGGTTTTATTAATAAAATAGGGATAGGGTATTGCTTACCCTAAATTCAAGAGGCTTATAGGAATAAATATATTATGCTTAGAGGTTCATTATGTTTCCTGTGGAAATACCATACAGTGCTATATCAGAAACATTGACTGTGTCCTTTCAGTCAAGGAGTAACAATATGTTCAGGCACATGGTAAGCACATTCTTGTATGTATGTCATGTTTTCTGTGATGTGGACCTGCTTTTTTACTATTAATACAGTAGATGTGTTAGTAGCTTAATACCAAAGGAATGCCTTGTGTGCATTCCTTACCAAATGTTTTCTGTACCATAGAAGCTATTTTCTCCTTCTTGCAAAGCAAAAATTCTATCAGCTAGAATGATGGTATGCTGAGAGATGGGTTTCTGTGTCTTGCATATCAATAATGCTAATCTGAACAAGATCAGACGTTTGAAATGCCTAGTTTTTTCCTTTCTTGTAGCATTTGAATGTAAGGTGTTTACCTTCTTCTGTTGCCTGTGTCATGTGCACATGGAATCATTGTTACTTGAGTAGTAATTAACTGTCCCTAAAATTTATGGTAAAGTTTTTATGAGTCACATGAAGCCTTCCATGCTAAATTAGGCATGGAAGTTTTTTGCCTGGTAGAAAACCACAAAGTTTCACCTACTGTCACTCTTAAGGTTTCAGGCATAAATATTGCTCACTGTATGAGCAGAATCAACAGACACCTCAATGCTGGAGAATGGTGCATAATCCATTTTCTCTGACATGTACTTTGTAGGCTCTTATTCTGAGTATGGCAGTTCCCACTATAATTGGATTCAGCTTGTGGAAAGAGGTAAGAAAAGTACCTTTGTGGAGCTTTCTTTTTATGTAGGCACATTATGAGTCAAAATGATGAGCAAATATAATGAAATGTATTCAGTGAAATTAAATATATCTGATGAAATTGAAGCTGTCATTCATTGAAAATATGTTTAATTTTAAAAAAAAACTTCACTTTTTTTGGTATAAGGTATTTGACAATTTAATTTTTTAACGATCGCTTATTGTAATTAAATTGAAATGAAGACTTTATTATATTCAGCTGTTAAGCTTTGGATGTATAAACTGACTCAACTTCCAAATGATAACTCAGTATATTTAAAACTATGTTGCCTCAATCTTAGTTTTAGTGAAAAGGAGTAAAGTTAGATGAAGTAAAATTACAGGAGGCCATATGCAAATAAACTGAAAAGCTCCCATCAAATTATAATGGAGTTAAATTCTTTGTGCAGACCATTGTGTCGAGGTGTGTACCTATTACAATACAGGGAAGAAAAGACACAGATGTTTCCATGTTTAAAATGAATACTTAGTTCTTTATTGCAAGTCACAGACAGACTGGGGGTAGAGTATTTGGAAATTATTTTCTGAGCTCCTGTGAGTGCAAAATATATGTGAAACATCTCATGAAGTGTAATCCTCTGCTATACTGGCACAGCTTTAAAATAGTTTGGATAGTCTGAAAATTCATATATAGAAGCTGGTCTTGCCCAACAGTATTTTAATGGATTTTGTAACATCTATCTTACATTGCAACCAAATTTTCTATTGTAGCCTGACTTTTTACACGTTTTTGATGGAGCAATAGATACTGTCTGTAAAAAAAGCTAGAGTTGTTTAAAAGAGTTATGAAATCTATTACAATAGAGGAAATTAATTTAGTTATTAACAAAGCAATTCCTTTCCAGATTGTTTTAATGAAAGCAGTGTGGGGTTTTAGACTCTAGAGGGCTTCATCCATTGCTGATCCAGCTTCTGCTTTTAAGGAGTGGTGAACAGTTTGCTCTCCAGGCTCATAACTTATCCCTGAGGTTGGGAATGTTGATTAGAAGTAACAGAGCAGCAAAAATGCCTTGAGACTCCTGATCTGTTACCGTGGCTATAAAAGGCTGACTTATAGCTCAGCATCTTTTTGCTTGGCTGCCTTCTGACTGTGTCTGGCATAGTCCCTCCTCTGATTAGGTTTTTCCAGGTGCTGTGATTGATAAGTGAAGCAGGTTCTCCTTGGAGTGGCAGTAGCAGTTCCTCTTTCCATCGTTCTCTTCTGGGAACAGTTCCAGTGTATGTGTAACAGCAGTGCTGTTTGTCCCTGACACAAACCTATGGCAGTTTCTCTTATGCTGCTTGTAGACTGCTGGCACTTGACAGCTGAGTTGTCCAGCTGATGGGGGTGGAAAGTCCTCAGTTAAAAGCAGGCTCCCACTTGTAACTGGGTGTCCACTGTGGCTGTCCCAAAGTAAGTTGTCTCTTTAATCTGGCAGAACCTGTAAACTTGATTCTTTTCCAAAAGAGCTGACATCCAGTAGCTTTCACTTAGCATTTACAACAGCATGTACATGTACCTGTTCCAGCCCCTCAAGGCTGGCCAGTTTCCAGCCATGGCTTTTTCAGATAAATGCACCAAATGGCTCAAGGACTTACAAAATGTCCCATCTTAATAAAGAAGGACCTCAAACCTGACAGGGTAGGGAAGCCATGATGCAGGGTTGCAAGATGGCCTGGTTTGAAAGAGATGGCATTCTATCTCAGAGAATCCCTCCTTTTCCCAAAATGTTTTTCAAGAGCCTAAACTGAGATATCCCACTTCACACAACGTAATGTGCTCTTCTTCACTGCAGTGATTGAAGTCAGAAGCAAGTCTGGGCACGTTACCAGGGTCTTCTAGGAAATTTCTTCTCTCCTGTCTTGCTTGCATAACACCTTTCCATCAAGTCACAATAGTCCAATCCTTCCTGCTCAAGCACGTTTACCATGAGAGATTTATCATCTTCTTGGTTCAGTGCCCTTATTTGTAGACATTTGCATATGGCCACCTGAACTATGGTTTTGATGTTGATGAATGTTGTTGCTGCTACTTATTTATTTATTTTAAATTATAAGTATTCTAATGAAATAGAGAGATGAGAACTTCTGTTTAACATACTTATTTTGGAGAGGATCTCCTGCTGTCAGGTAAGTAAATGTAAGCTGAGTTTTGCAAAACATTCAAGCAAAAGTACCAGTCAGGGGGAAAACTGTTGAAACCATTTCTGTTGTGTCACTTAAGGCCTTAATGTAATGAGATGCTCTATGGATAATTTTTTAACTCTAAGTAACCAAAAACATTTCCATCAGTTTTTCCCTAGAATAATGACAGAGCTTACAGAACTGCAAGAATTCTATGATCCTGATACAGTAGAACTTATGACATGGATAAAGTAAGCATGAAGTCCAACATTTCTATTTTACTGCTTTTTGTAACGGTATTTTTAGCTCAGCAGTTTGTAGAGCTAGCTCTGTCAAGCTGGGTTTTCCCTTGGTATTTATTCGATGATGCATGGGGGAAGAAGTTTTATATTTTAAGTTTGGTATTGTTTCCATAAAAGAAACAGGAGTTTATCATGGATTACAAGAGAAGATCCTGGAACACACAAGCAAGTCGTGTTTAATGTCATTGCAGACCCAGTTTCCAAACAGAGGTGGAGATCTTAGATCTTTTTAACATTGCATTAGATTACAGGATTCATGTAGATTGTAATGCCAGCGGTGGACAAAAACCCTGAAATGCTATGTGCCTGAGCCAATAAAATGAACTGCCTGAATGTAAGGATTTAGACACTTCTGTCAGGATACATGTGTTATTCAGACTTTCCCTCTGACCACAGCAGCTATGGAGCTATGTTATACAGCTCATACTGAACATGTACACAGCTAATACCAAGTCATTTTCACTGATTTATTTTCCTTACCACCAAAGATTTCAGAATTGCATTCTGCCTCATTCAATTGGACTTCAAGCTATGTCATTATATGCTTTTCTGAAAATTAGATCCCTTGTGTTCAGATAACTTAGTTTTAACTGTATTTTTTTAGAATATTGCTTTCTGTATTTATGTAGTCTTTAATGTCAACCTGTTTGTCTTCACAAAAGGCAAGGCTGGTAATTAGTGTTGCAGCCAATTTCTTCTTGCTGTTGTAGTAGTGTATGTTGTTTGTCACTGCTGTAGCTCTTCAAGGCAGCAAGTGGAATAATGCCAAGTACCTAATGGCTTTTATGTTAGTCTGCATATACTTCAAGTACGTAATTAATCATGGTGAATTTCATTGAGATTCACTCAGCTACGAGCAATTTGACTACCCTTATCTGTAGCAGCTGTTCTTACTTTTAAAGAAAATAAAGATTTTTTTTTTCTTATGGATATACTTAGCTGTCCACATTGAAATTTTAATTCAATGTCCTTACTACAGTATATTTTCTCAAAGTCTTCTCTCTGATAATATGAATTTGAATTTTCTCTACAGAAGTTGCCAAAGTCTGTAATATAGTGTGACAATGACGGTTTTCTTTCACTAATACAGAAATACAAATAGTAAAAAAAATATACCAAACCCAAAAACATGATTACTGTGGACATTATTCTGTGTGCTGACATTATTTTCTTATAGATGATGAAATACATGATCAGAGCTTACATATGAAATACATAATAGAGATCAAGTTACAACAGTCACAAATCATTCCCTTACAAGATAACATCATGATGTTTCTCCTTCTACCTACCCCCTCTCCCAAGCTTGTTTTGTCATGAGTTGGCAACCATTCAGAAAAGCAGGACTTGGATCCATTCCAGCACCACTCTGAATGGTGCTCTGTGGTTTGCAAGGAGGGGAGAACAACCATCAGCCCTTGCCCCAGCAGGAACCCCTCCTTTCAAACTGATTGCTGCAGGTCTGTGCTTTCCCTGCCAAGGAAAGTACTGGCACAGCAACACCATCACCAACTGCAATGAGACCCCAGTGATACCTTCACCTACTCCAGTTCATTCTGCAGCACCCTAACAGATGCCACAGCGTATAAAGTTGTTTTGATGAGTGCATCCAGTACTCAGAGTGCGTGTTGGTGTTGCTTTTGCAGACGCCAGGCTCCTGTGGCTGCAGTGTTTGCAGGCAGCCCACAGCTCATGGGTGTGATTAAGCTCTGTACAGGATGGATGGTGTCGAGCCTGCCTTTGTATAATGATGATGATCTTCTGAAAAGAAATGAGAATGTGAGTATCCAGTTCCATAAATGTGGCATCTCACAGCAACTGTCTTCCTCTTCACCCAAATGTAATGTAAAAAAATTAAATGTATTAGAAGGGAGGAAGACATAGAAGTCCAGTGGACATGGAAGGGATTATCAAGTATATTATCAGTGCTTCACTCTGCACAGAAACAAATATCAGAATATTATTTCTGAGGACTTTTCAGGCCACTTGGAGTATGTAAGATGAGAACTTGTTGTCATCAGAGACAAATACTTCCCATTCTACTGGCCATTGCCTCACTGGAGATTTCAAAACCAAACTTTTTTATCATTGCAGATAGGTCATTGTTGGGTGGTATGTGTGTCCCAGTATTTAAGGTATCACTAATTTTTGCATTGCATGAACATGTTTTCTTAATTTATAGATTTATCAAATCTATTCCAAGAGATCAGCAGAAGATATTTATAAGATACTCACATCTTACAAAGCCAACTTTCTGGTTATTGAAGATTCAATTTGCAATGAAGTGGGACCTGTAAGAGGATGTAGAGTTAAAGATCTGTTGGATATTGCTAATGGTCATGTAAGTATTGGTGAGAAAAAAAGAAATGTTTGAATGCATCAATAATTAAATTGAAAATAAATCTTATAATGCTGGTCTTATTTTTCTTATTGTAATTGACATGTAGACAAAAACTCAGGTTTTAAAAGTGATCAGTTAAGTTTTGGATTGTCTGTTTCTTAAATTTGTCATCTTACCTAATACTATTAACTGCTCCAATCCCTCCTAACACTTGAGTATCTAGCTGTGCTGCTTTTCTGACAATCATTAAGTACCATTTAACTATATAGAAATTATCAAGACTGACATCTGAATAGGTTGTTACAAAAGCAGTGAATTCCTGCCTCAGAAGGCATTTTTTACTAGCTTTGAAGATGAAATTCTAAAATGGATAAACTGAGTTCTTCTGAAACTCTGGCTGGGATGAGGACCAGCCTCCCATTTAGTTCAGCACAGACTGGTTGGTTCTGATGAGGATGCAAGTCTTTTCAGTTCAGCCTTGCGAATAGGTCAGCATACCAACAGATAGTTTAAACCACATCTGCTAGAAGGATTGGTTGAATAAACTGAACCATGAATGCTGCTTCAGTCATTGACATGTTCTGTCTCTTTGGATGTTGGCAGTGCTGCTCTTGCTGCTTAAGTAGGGAGTAAGGTGGGGTTTATAAAGTGATCTCACTGTCACTTGTTCATTGGCTTCTTGGAAATCCAGCAAAAATTTTGGTTTTAGAAAGGCAGGGAGTGGCCTTAAACTCACTTAGAGTTTCATTGCTTATTCTCAGGTCAATAGGAAAGAGGGAGTCACCTCTCAGCAATATAGGAGTGGTATGTTTTTAGGGGATAACTCTATATTTCCCCAGAAATCTACAGCTTGTGTCAGTTTCATTTCTAGGTTTCATGACTACTTTATCCATGAAGGATATTGTCTCCATATTTCTATTAACTTCCTTGCCATTGCTGAAATCTTACTACTTCTTTCCTAGTCTTGCTGCTGAAATCATGTATGCTGTGATTATTCCAGGATATATCCAATATACTGTACCATAACTAAGTGTGCATGTCTGAATAACCTCCATGATTGTTAATCTGCATGTTACCTCTCAGTTTCTTCTCAGATCTGTGTTTGCATGAGTAAGTTCCTGTTTCCTCTTCATACTTAGGATCTCCACTGGAGCAATTAACCACAATTTCAGGATTCCATGCCCTCAATACTCCTGCATCTCTCTTCTCCATGCTTCCTGAATGCTTCTCTCTCACACATAAGCTTGATAATCCTTTTTGTGTTTTTTGTTGTTGTTTTGGGGGGAGTGGTTGGTTTGGGTATATTTGGGTATTTTTCAGAAAACTGACATCATTTGTTCTGTAAAGTTAATAAAGTGTATTGTCTCAGGAAGCTTTAAACAAATCTCTCAGTTTGCTTGTTAACAAAATTTTTTTAAGTTGTATTGGTAGATTATCAAGGTACTCCAAAGTAGTGGAAGCTAGTGAATACATATTTGGAGACTGCAATGCAGCATTTACTTACTCCCAAAGTAGGTGAGACAGTAGACAGACAGTGTGTTGACAGGTCTGTGGATGTGTTTTGAATTGCTGTGTTTAAGAAGATAAGTACTACTTTATAGCTTGTGCTACATCCTGTAGTCCTAGTCCAATATCTTGTTTCTGACACTGGCTGAGAGCATAGGTTTACTGATAGGGAAGGACAAATGTTTTCCAGCAGTCTGTTGCTGAAGGACTGTAGCTCAAGGCAATTGTCTTTGTGTTTGGAAGCCACTGGTGGATTTTTCCTCATGAGTTTGTCCTACCATGTTTTTTTAAAACCATGTAAATTTGTGCATCAGAAGGAATAATGAAGGGATTTCTTCAGGGATGTCAGACAGTAGATCCTAGAAAGTAGTTTGCTTCCAAGTCACTTGGTTGGAATTTGTAGGGAGATGTGTGTGTGTGTATCTTTAGTCTTTATTAGGTATGTCAGACTTAGTTGGCCTGGGAAAGGTGATGGAGATTTTAGTTTCCTTCATACTGGTATGTCCTGTGCAGATCAGGTTTCAACTACTGGGTAAACGGGGCATGTGCATAATTTCCACTGCTGTTGTTCTTTATAATATGAATGAAGTACACTGGTTTTAAGGTCTGCTACCTTGACAAAGGGATTAATTCACAAAGGCTTTTTTAGGTGGTTAAACAAATTACAGGGGAACGTGTTTTCAGTTTATTGGAACTGTACAATGTGGAAATTAAATGTCTATCATAAATGAAATTTACAGAATACAAAAGTTAATTAAATGTACAGAATTACATTCTGTAATCACTTCAGTACTGTAATTAGGTCCTTTTTTTTTTTTTTTCTGACAGGTGGTTTGTGAGGAAGGTGACAACTATGCCTACTCAAAATATGGACGATTTTGTCATGAAATCAAAATGAACTATTCTCCATATGTGAATTATTTCACTCGAGTATACTGGAATAGATCCTACTTTGTATATAGAATCAACACTGTGATATCCTTCCAGTCCTGAAAAAGCATGCAAGCTTCTTTCTGAGGATTGATTGTGAATGAATTTCAGTTGGAAAAGTTCCTTTTGAGCAAGGAAGTCTATTTTTTGCAGATAGATGTGCACACATGCAGTGTACTGACAACTTTACCAAACTGAAATTCTTTGATCTGCAGATCAGCTGACACTTATGCCATCCTTGAAGGAAACGGGAACATTTATCAGTTTTACAGTCTCTACAATGTGCTACAGTCTTCCGTGTTTTTACATTTTTCTTCCCATTAGAAATCATCTTAATCTTCATGTAAATGAGATTTCTAATTTTAGTGTTAGAGTGTTGATATGCGTAGACTTCAGTAAATACAGAAAAATTATTTAAAGAGCTTGTTTAAGTCATATAGCTTTTATTTTTTAGCAAGAAAGCAATCACTATCCCAAGTCTTTTCAAGTAAGTGTTTGGATTTTTTGTTTGGGGTTTCTTTTTATTTTGTTTTAATTCTTCCTGTCTTCCATGGTAAACATTTCTGTGTTTCTCAAACACACATTTATACATCTTATGTGTAGCTATATAGTTTTTATAAATCAAATAAGGAAGATTTTACTTAAACAACACTTCCATAGATTAAGGCACTGATCTCTACATTGTTGTCTCTGTTGTCTACAGAGGCATGTTGGTGGAAATGCTAGGAATTAGACCTAGCAATAGGAGCTGACAAGCTCAGATCTTCAGTTTGGAAAGAACTTGTCTTCAGCATTTCTCCACACTTAAGTGTTTATGTGTGTATGCATAAGTGTGTCTTTCTTGGCAGCCACCAGAATGGGCCAGTATATCACAGTATGCCACACTTGTTTTCAGGCAAGTGTAGCAGGACAGCCAGGTTTGCTACCGAGACTTCTGCACTTCAGTTTCACCACCTCTGTGTGTGCTGGTACGTGTGTGTGTGTGTGGGCAGATGGGTGATACTCATTTCATTCAACTTATTATGCAATAGCTATGTTAAGATAGTGCCATAACTGTCATTTAAAACACTATAATCACCACCATTAATAAATAATGGTACAGGTGTTCATAGCTATTTTTATATCAATTATGCAAATACACAGATCTTTGAAAATTTGGCAGTTTTGCTTCTCTCTAAAATTTGTTATATGCCCTTTGCCTCTACAACTCCTTTTCTTAACAAATTATCTGTTCATCCTGTTTGTTGCTGGCTGATAGACTTTCAAGAAAATGAATGATGTTTTAATTACAACTCTGGGCCTAAACCCAGTGTTGAGAATGGAAACTCCAATAAAAGGTAACAGTAGCTTTGCTTAATGTAGAGGTAACTGGACAAAAAGCCAGGAATAAGTTTTGGAAGAAGTTGCTCACCCCATAGGAGTTACCTGCAGTTACAAATTAATGTAACACCTGGCCCAGAGACCAGTCTATCAGGTATGTGGGAATGATTCTTTGGAGCCCAGATGTCTTTAATAAAGGATCTGGCAAAAATCAGCAAACCATTCTGCAAGTGGAAGCTGCAAAACAATCCTTACTGCAAATGGGAGATTTTAACTCTGAAGTTACTAGGAACTGCAGCATGTTGTTGTATGTGCATGATTCTTCTCTGCTCTGTGCAGATACACTTGCTTATTTTACACTGACATGTAGTGCTGAGATTTTTTAAAACTTGTTATCACTTTTGGAGTGATTTAAAAGAAAAAAGCTTTATTGTTGTAAAAGCTAATTTGTCTGTAATCTGTTTTTTACTTTCAGTTATATTTTTAGGAATGTGAGTCTTGACAGAATGTTAAATTATGCATTTTATTTGAAACCAACATTCAGATAAATCCATCAAATGTATGGGGTGTTGTCACTGAGAGAAACATTTATCCATATAACTGAGTTACAAGTAAATATCCCTTCTGGGCATACAGGCATCATGTTGGGGATAGTGTGTACCTGTGTGTCTGCTGGAGTGCAGGCTGCATGTATTTGCTTGTGCACAAGTGCATGTTTTACTGCACTGGGCTGTTTCAGACTGCTCAATTACCATATACCAACCAACACAAGCTTGTGTATTAACTTGAGCTATGGCAGGCCTGCAGGAACCCCCTCTGTATGTGTGGATATAGATGTAATATTTGGAAGTAAGTTTACAATTCCTTTTTCAGTTTAGGTTTGTTTGAACCCCTGTCAAGGAATTACGTGTCTGTGTGTTGGTCATTTAATCTCTTGAAGTTAGTGATTCATGAATATCACTTCATATCAGCAATAAGGCATTCCAGGTGCAAACTTCAGGGTTACGCCTGTGCTTGGGTAGATGAAGTTGCAGAACTTCTGGCTTCATGCCTTGAACTGCCATGCTGAGATGTAACATTCAAGTGTCCTTGGCTGCCTGTTGTGTTTTACTACAATGTTGTGTGTGTTACCATGTAGAACATAGTTTGAACACATACATGTAGAGCACACATATTAAGGAAACCACAAATGAGGCCGCCCACGCATCTAAGCAAAACTGTCTTGTAGCACATTGGCCTTTATACATGTTTAAATGAATTAGTTGAATTTTATTTGAATTGTGACATAGTTACTGTTATTAATTTTGTCATAGTTTGTAAGATGTATTCTTGATACTTCAATTGATTCTGCTTTAGGAGAATCATTTAAGATTTTTACCTTGCTTTTTATATTAGAGAAAATTATATTGCAGCACCATTGGCAGAGCAGCCTTAAGTAACAGAAGGAGCCTTTTGTTTGGGAGAACATTGTGGTTGCTCCTGTAAAAAGGCATAATTAAAATTAGTGACTGTAAGAATAATATCTTAGAAAGTGAATTAATTTCTTATCCAGCCATGGACTAGCAAAAATACTGTCTAATCTCCAGCTTCTGTGAAAAATAATAAGTTCCAGTGATATCCCTTAGTGGGACAATAGGGCATAATTACACCAGACTTGTGCAGACAACCCTGGCTTGGTTTTCAACCAGATCACAGGTTTAACTCCCTGAAAGGGTTGTGGGAAAGTTTTACAAATTTTGATCTGCTTTGCTGTAGATGTTGCAATTCAGTTGAAACATGTGCCTTGCAAGCTTTTATTAAACAAACAAAAACCTCAATTCATGTTTCTTTTTGTGAAGATTTTTTTAAAAAATTCCTGTCCCTCTGATTTCTAGAGTTTCTGTTGTGTCTTAATATGCCAGCCTCCAAGGATGCCCCAGTGGGGCAGCTGGGATATGTTCCAGCCATCTAACAGCTGTTCACTGGGAAGAATGGGAATTTGAACAACAATTTGTGTGACTATTCTGCTGGCTTATTTCCTCCTTCACATTTCCACTTTCTGATATACTTGATCTTAGTAAATGCAAACAAATTATCTTGAAAAAATAAATTAGTATAGTATTTTCAGGCACCTACCTGTTACCCTTAGACTTGTGTATCAAAGTTTGACCAACCCACAGCTAAACTAACATACACAGTTTTGTCTTAATCCTAAAAAAATGCTCTTTCACTTCCTGAATTACCACATACTTGAACTCAGATTTGACAGGAGATGGTTGAGACTAAGGAAAGGTATTTCTGAGCATAAACTTCTATTCATATTATTTAAAAAAGCATTGATTTCATTTCTTCCAAAGTAAATGGAAATATAGTTTATTACAACACAATTTTAAATACATTTTCCATGGGGGTGGGGAGTAAGGAGAAGAGACACAAATGTGGAAGAAAGAGGGCCAGAAGGTTTCACAGGCATCGAAAATTCTTTGAACTATTTGCTCTGGTGGCATTACTATATACTGAAAGGTAGAGGCTAGGGACCAAGTCTTGTTCTTACCACCTTATTTTCACTAAGTCATCTTCAAGTGTCCAGACCTTGTGATGTTCCATCAGCTTTTCCATGCAATACACATGAAAAGGAGCTGCAAGATGAGGTTGTAGGGATTTTAATGTATCCTTGAAATACTGCTTAAAACCTCATATAACCTGTCCTTCAACCAAAACTCCGACAGGAGAAGGTGTAGGCTGTGCTTGTGAATGTGTGGGTGTATGCACACATTATGTGCATTTATAGGTGTCTGTTTTACTATTGTGTTTTGGAGATGGAATGAGGAACTTCTCTTATCACTAAGGTGATTGAATCTGTAAGTCTGGTAAATATTGATGGGCAGGTGGACTCTGGAGTACTGTATTGGAGATGAAAGAGAAGCAGAACTTTATTCCAACACAAGCAATATTTCATGTGAAATAATACCTCAACATAAATCTGCATAATCATGCTTTAATACTCTTTTTTAAACCTAACTGTAGAGGGGAAAAAAGTGGGAATTCTAAGACATGTCTTGTGTGTTATCTTAATCTTTTCTACTTCATCAGTACAGCTAAAAAAACCCCCATTATGTTGCTGCACTCTATGCCAAATGCAGAGCTAGTGATGCCTAAAGGTCTTCTGAATTGTTTTGTACCTCAACATGTGTTTAAATGTAATTAATCTGGCAATGGTTTTGGTTTCAGTTAAATGTATGTATTTCTGCCTTTCAAGTGATGTTTATCTGATGGGACAGAAGGTTTAATGCCTTTCAAAAATTCAAACTTGTTTACTTCAGTAATGCAGAGGAATTATTGGTGGTGCTTTACTTGTTAACAGTGATGTTCAGCAGTAACGTATGTGGCATATGGACTTATCTATGTGCAGCTATTTAATAACAAGTCTAAGGAATACAATTCCTGTTATCCTGTTTGTTGTCTTGGACAGTTTTTTATCAAAATGATGTATACATAATAAATATTTTTCTCTTGTAACAAATTCTTTTTCTGTAGAAAAAAAAAAAATTAATAAAAGCCAAGTCCAGAAAGTATGGATTGTTTGGGGCACAAACCATTTTATCCTTTGAGAAGTCAAGGGAAGACTGTGCAGCATGGCTCAAAAGTCTGTCTTTGACAGACAGCATAAACAGTCTTGCAGCTCTTGAGGACAAGCAGCCTGCTCAGACTGGATCCATATGTCGTGCTGACTGTGGCTGCTTGTTGAGACATATTTGTGTGAGGATGAACAGCAAAATGTGAGCTGCTTCATATGGAATTGTTGAACTCTGTGACTTTCTCCCTAAAGATCTTCCTACAGCAAGCACGTCACCTGGAAATAAAGTGCTATGCAATGTCAAATGCTTACTGATTTAATTTTTTTAAATCTACTAATGTATTATCTGCCTTAAATTTTTACAGATAATGATTACATATTTTGGAGCCCTCTATTGTTTTATACAATATTATTAGTAGGAATCTTTGAATGATTAGTTTGTAATAATTTAGCATGTAATGATACAAAATCTTGATTTATTTTTTTTTAGTTAAATTCTAAAGACAGTACAAATACCCTACAGAGCACTTCTCCAAAACCAGATCATTTAGAACCTGAAAAAAATTACATATTTACATCTTTAATTTATAATGATTCTGAGTTTGAGCATTTATCAGACTGCTTTGTTTTAGGTTTGTCAGGAGATGAGCTGATGTTGAAGTGTCCAAGTTTAGCCATTCAGGCAACCGGGTTTTGTGGTTGCTTAGCTCAAAGGGGAATGGAACTTCCTGGCATCAGGAAATTCATGTTGGTATCTGTGTACTCTTCTGTGCCTTTATGCAAAAGTCAGACTGGTTACTAGCTGTGAAACAGAGAACATTCTATTACATATAATAGAATTTATATTGGTATATGTCTATAAATAGGTGTTTTATATGAGTCTGTATCACTGTACAAAATACATATTCTGTTTATGATCAATGATTTAGAGGTGTTAGGTAAAAGTACTGTTGCTTTGATTATTTTCCACCTAAATAGTGGCTCTGGAATATGTTTGTAGACCTAGTTATTTTTGCAGTGACCCAGCCTATCATACTTCAACCCCTGTGTGCTTTCAGGCTGCTTAGGACGTTTTTTAATGGTGATGAGATGCATCTTGTTATGGATTAAACTGCATATATAGAATATACCAACATTAAGCAATCCTGAGTATTATGGAGCTATTCCGTGGGTTGTAACACACCATCAGTGCATTTACTTTCAGAACCTTGATCAGCTTTACAATGCCTTGGGATTTCTTCTGTTTCAGTTACACTGTACTGTCTGCTGTCAAACCATGACTCCTGCTGGTGCTCTACTGACTGGTAATGGAAAGACCCAAAACATGTTGAGACTGACTTTATTTTTAAACTGCAATAAATACCAGAGTATTCTGTAAGGTCAGGGTGAATGTAAAGTGATGCCTTAAACTATTCTCCCCTCTGAAGCAAGTTGAAAAAGGACAGGTAAGAATGCAGCTCCATTCTTCACTGGCTCATGTTACACTCTCCATGAGACTCTGAGCACAGAGGCTGTGTTCTCCCTGGAGTAGCTGCTGGGTGCACCTGTGGTTTCCATGGCTGATCTGACTTTAGTTCTGAGCAGTAAGACAAAATCACTGCAGCAGAAGTGACTAAACCATTTATGCAGTTTTGGAAAGGTACATTAAAATCAAGCCTGTTTTTAATTTCATTACGAAAACCTCTTTCTGAAACACATGTAGTTCTGAAACACTAATGGTCATTTTTATCTATTTCAGCATTGTTAGCACATGGATAAATGCTGCTTCTTTCTTGTTTCCTTTTTTTCTTTTTCTCTCCTCCCAAGTTGGCCTATTTATGACAATCTGAGTTGTAGTCCAATCTGCTGGCTACATTCCAGGGGATTGTCCCAGCTGTGAGGGAGGGCCAGAGGAAGGCTGTTGGGCTTGCTGATGTTTTGGCCTCAGAATGGCAGTACTTAAATTTAGTGGTTGCAGTTCACAGTACTGAGTTCACTAGATCAGCTTTGCTTAAGAACCCTAAAACTAAATTTCACTATGATTGTTTGGCAATAGAAGCTGGCACTGTTCTGAAGATATCTGTGTTGTTTAGACAATATCTAAGGAGGTTATTTACTTGTATTTATTTCTTGTCTATGTTGTTTCCTATCGAAGTCGAGAGCCAACTCTACTATCTTTATTGAGAAGTCCTCTTGGATTAACGCTGGATCAGTCTCTGTGGATTCTGCTTCAGCTTTGCAGGAAGAGACAAATTCCTTTAGAAAACATGGCTACACTCAACTGTGTTTGCATTTCTTTAAATGGTAGATTAGGATCTGTGGCCATAAATATCTGTACATTTGTTTTGTTGTCACACAGGTTTTGTGTAATTGGGTGTCGAAAATAACACAGTTGTGCTAGTGAGTATCCACAAGGTGAGCTTGGCTCTGGTTCTGTTCTGTGAGGTGCCCTAAATTCTGGCAGTGGGAGTGACATGCAGGAGAAGCCTGAATTTCCATCACCAAAATGCTGTGTTAATGTAATAGGAATACATTAAGTTCATAGGTGTTCATAGGGTGGGAGGGAATACTGTGAATAAAATGTAGTTTATATCTTCCCAGGCTGTAGGGGAAACTGCTTGTTTCTTCTGAGTGCTTGAATAGAAGAGAATAGAAAAGGTAGTGTGTCCTTTAATGTAGGCTAAAAATGGGAAATTGATTTTGAGAGGATTTAATTGGCTTGTTGAAAGTTGTGTAAGGATGCAACACACTTCAGAAGAGGGAATGCTGTGCTGTGTCTCCGTACAGAGCTAAGCTTGTCCTAAACTGAACGCTTGTTTACATGGTCTAGCTAGCTCATTAAGTGTTTTAAATTAATGAGCCTTCTAGTGTCTTTGTGAAGGAAGGAATTAGGGCACAAAGAGCAACCATAGCATATTCAAAGCTTGCTACAGCACATTAACCAGGCATGGATCTCTGGGTGGTTACTTTCATGTTGTTACTGGTAAACCATTCTGTAAAACTCTGGTTTTACTTTTTGCCTTCCCAGTCTGAAATCTTGTATTGTGCCAGATTTTAGAAGCTATCATCCCTTCACCTTGAGGGGGTAAAAAAATAAAGGTTGACAGCTTGTAATAATGGGATGTGATCTCCCAACAATTACCTCTCCTTAAAACTGGTAATTCCCCGGCTGGCACAGGTGCAGGTCTAGCGGTTGGTTGTCACCTTTGGCTGTTGCCTGTAATATTTGACTAAAGACGAGTGAAATGGATTCTGGCTTTCTTGAGCAGAGCTTCACTTCCA